ATATCAATGCACAGCACTTGGTACCGTGCTTGGAAAGGACAGCTCTTATCAGAGTTAGTGGTTAGGGTTAGTAATAATAAAATGAGAATACACTGCTGGTGGGATGCATTCCCACCAGCAAGATATTTGGCCTTAGACGTTAGGAGCCCTCACTTCTGCAAATTTATCCTAAGGACATAGAGATATGGATAAGGTCCATAATAGCATTCTTTGATAAAGAAAAATTTGAAACAAATGAGAGTAATTTAAATTATGATAAATTTATGTAATAGAATGATACATTTATATGATAGAGTAGAATAAATTTATGTAATAGAATAGATAAATCTGTGTAATAGAAATAGCACTTAAATAATAGAATGTTTTAGGTCAGGATTTTTCAAATTTTACATCCTCCACAATGTAAACAAATGGGATATATATATTGAACTTCAAATGGTGGGGGTAGGACAGGAGATTCCCTGTGGAGCTCTACAAACAAGGCCCTGTCTCCCCTCCCTGACTCACTTCTAGGGCACCTGCTGAAAGAGGTTCTGAGGCTCCCAGACTTTTATTTTTATATATTACTATAGGCCTGATGCACAAAATTCGTGCAAGAGTAGGCCTTCCTTCCCCTGGTGGCTGCTGGCACCGGCTTCCCTCTGGCACCTAGGACCCGGGCTTCCCTCACAGCCCCAGCTTTGTCCGGAAGGTCATCTGGAAGGCTGTCCAGTCTAATTAGCATATTACATTTTTATTATTATAGATCTTTATTGTTGAGAGTTTACAGATGTCCCCCCTTTATTCCTCCTTGCCCACCCAACCCGGTTTCCACCCAACCTCAGGCTTTCAACACCCTGCTGTCTGTGGGTTATGCATATATGCATATAAGTTCTTTGGTTAATCTCTTCCTGCCACCCCCACCCCTTACACAACCCCTCACACACACACACACACCCACACACACACACACACTCTGATTCATCAGTCTGTTCCATGTTTCCATACTTTTGGTTCTATTTTATTCATCAGTTTATTGTGTTCATTAGATTCCACATATAAATGAGATCATATTTGTCTTTCTCCTACTGGCTTATTTCACTTAGCATAATCATCTTCGGTCCCTCTATGCTGTCTCAAAGGGTAATAGATCTTAGCTATTGTAAATGATGCTGCTATGAACATAGGAGTGCATATATTCTTTCTGATTGGTGTTTCAGGATTCTTAGAATATATTCCTAGAAGTGGGATTACTGGGTCAAATAGCAGTTCCATTTTAAATTTTTTGAGGAAACTCCACACTGTTTTCCACAGTGGCTGCACCAGTCTGCATTCTCACTAGTAGTGTACTAAGCTTCCCTTTTCTCCGCATCTTCACCTGCACTTACTGTTTGTCGATTTATTGATGTTCCAGTTTTTCCTCTTGGTGCAGGGCTATCCTCCTAATCTGTATTGTTGCTCCCTCTTCACCCCCTCACTGTATTAGATCCCCCTTTTTTTGCATCCACAGTTTCTTTTTTAACTCTTTTGTTTTAGTGAAACAAGAGCACATGTGAGATACATTTTTTTGAGATTACATGCCTAAAATTGTCTTTATTCTATTCTCATATGATTCATAGTTTGGCTGGGTATAAAATTCACACCCACACATTATTTTCCAGAATTTTGAGGATAACTTCCACTGTATTCTAACTTTAAATTTTGTTAGTAAGAGAAACATCGATGTAAGAGAGACACATTGATTGGTTGCCTTCCCACTCAGGCCCCAACCAGGGCTGGGGATTGAACCTGCAACTGAGGTATGTGTCCTTGACTGGGAATCCAACCCTCAACCCTTTGGTCTGTGGGCCCACACTCTAACCACTTAGACAAGCCAGGGCTGTTGTTTTTTTAAAATTGGTTTGAAAGAGAGAAGAAGGAGAGAGAGAGAGAGAGAGAGAGAGAGAGAGAGAGAGAGAGAGAGAGAGACTGATTGGTTGCCTCCTATATGCACCAGACCAGGGATGGAATCCGCAACCCAAGTATGTGCCCTGACCGGAAATCAAACTCACAACCTTTTGGTGTATGGAAGGACGCTCCAACCAACTGAGTGACCTGGAGAGGGCCTCCACTGAGTTTTTTAATGGGCTGTTATACCTCCTGGATTGATCCTCTAATTTTCTTACTCTTTTCTCCTATTTTCCAACTCTTCGACTTTTTGTTTGACTTTCTGGGAAATTTCCTTTATCTTTAAATGCCTTTACTATTTTTTTCTGCTGTCATATATATTTTTTCATTTCTAAGGGCTGGCTTTAAGTTTTTTATTGCATCCTATATTAGTTCATGAATGCAATATCTTCACTTATTCTGAAGAATTATGGTGTCTTTGAAATGTGCTTTTCCATATGCCATCTGTATTTTCGTTGAAGTCCTCTTTATCTGTTTACTTGTTTTGGTCTTTCTTTCATGTTGGCACTTTTTTCTGATGTCTGTGCCCATTACTCTCTGTGCTTGGGCGCTGCTTATTACTGAGTGTACTTCGCTTTAGGACTGTTGCATGGATGACTAGCTGGCTTATTCTTTTGGAATCTGTACGCTTGATTTGTTTCTTCAAAGAACCCTCTTCCAATCTCTTGCCTAGAGTCAGACGGGGAGAAACCTGGGTGTCAGGGTCTTGAAGTTAGCTGGAAAGGGCAACAGCTAACGCCCATTGATAATCATACAGTCCATAGAAAATCATAGTCACTAGTTGTCTAAACAGGCTATCGCCACACGCCCACCTCTGTGCCTAGCATTCCCATGTCCAGGGCCTCTCTGGTTCAGTGTCTCAAGGAAACAGAAATATTGTCCCCTGTGGAGACCTAGCTGTAAAAGTTCAGAATGAAGACAACTTGAGGGTCTAGCTGAAGTTTACATGCAGATTTTCAGCCAACCCCTCTCTTTTCATGTTCCCACCTTGATCTCACCTTTCTTAATACAGTGGGGCCTTGACATACGAGTTTAGTTCGTTCTGTGACGGAGCTCATAACTCAAATTACTCGTATGTCAAATCATAAAGTGAACGAGTGAGACACGTGATGCTGGGCTGATGTTGTGGCGTTCACTGTGACGTTCGCTGCGCCAACTAGCGGCGGGGTATCTGCAGCTGGCTCGTAACCCGAATTTTAGCTCACAACTCAAAGCAAAAAATCGGCCGAGAGACGGCTCGTATCTCAAAAAACTCGTTAGTCGGGACACTCATAAGTCAAAGCCCCATTGTACCTGGTTCCTCCAATTACTGATTCTTTCTGATGTTGTTTGGGTGCCCAGATTTGACCTACATCCACTCTACTAGATGATTGAGATTCCTCCATCTGTTTCTGTCTTCATGTGTTATGATTTGGGATTATAGATACATCCTAGTTTTATTGAAAATAGTGACAGAGCTTTTGTTTTTTGTATTCTTTGCTTTTGGAGTGCTGTTGAGAGAAGAAATGTCTTCACACCACCATTTAAATCCCTAAGTCTCTGCCTTGATTTTTAATATAACTGTAATTATATTTTTGGTTTCCTGTATCCTCTAAATTTTCTGCAATGAACACATATTACTTTAATAACAAAAAAGCACACACACACACACACACACAATGTTACTGAAGGCCTGGGACACTAGACCCTGCATCTTCCTTCTTCTCTTGCTGAGCCAGTCGGGCTCCTGAAGCCCCCTTATCTTTCACACCTCAGTTCCTGACACCATGCAGCCATCTATGTGGCTTCCAGCATCTGCCAGAGTACCACACCCTCCTTGTCAAGGAGCACAATCCTGGTTTCCTCATCTCTGAGCCAGGGCTGGTTATGAAGTAGCCATATCAACCATGCATGATGTGGATCCCTTCATGCATTCTGAATGGTTATGCCTTCAAAACCACAACAGTTTTCACAAAAAGATAATTCAGTGTGTGTGTATGTGTGTGTGTGGCATTTTGCCATGGCGTCTATTGATTTCTTCCCAATGGTGCCATTGCAGTCAACAGGGGGTGGGTATTATCTGGGATTTTTCCATGACTACTTCCTACAGGCCAATATACTCCCTCCACTTGGACATACATGAGTGGCCCTTGGGAAGCCGGCACACGGCTTTCAAACACAATTGAACTTTACTGGCTCTACCAGATCCCAGGGAAATCAAGACCCTAAGATCTAAGCACTAACACCCACCCCCTCCCCCGCCGCCTCTCCTTCCCCCCTGCCAGGCCTCCACAAGTTCTGGACTCATGGGGCTAACAAGAACCCAGTGAGAAATCCCAAAGCTGCAGAAATACTTGTTGTCCTTGAGCTCTCTGACGGGCTCCACCCTGGCCTGAGACGCTGCTATCTCAGATGTCCTGGTAAGCACAGGGATTCCAGGACATGGGTCCAGCAATGCTCTTTTCTTCCTCCTCTACCACTAGGATCACAGCCTTTACAGACTGACCTACAAGTAGGTTTTGCTGGGAATCCTATGAGAATTGATCCAGCTAATTACTAGTGAGGAAATTGTTCTCTAAATTTAACATGTCCATCATTCTCATCCAAAAGAGCAGCACTGATGTGGTGGGCTGAGACTTTGAGGTGATTTGTATTTAACCCAACAAAAACTGCATGGGGCTTCACAGATTTACTCATTTATACCTCACAGATTTACTCATTTTTCAGTCAATTTTGATTTTATTAAACTCAGCATTGTAAAAACCTCATAAAATAACCCTCATCAATTCTCCCCTGCTGGACTCACACATTCCCGCTCTGGAAGAGCTGCTAAGAGAACGGGCAGAAATTTCTCCTGTCGTGTTGCCACTGGCATACCTTGTGTTCCCACTTGTGGATTTGTTTATTCCTACTCTCTTTTCCAAAAAGAGACGTGTGTGATTGTACTCACAAATGGAAAGATATCCTCTATTAAAGTCAAACTCTACTTGGGTCATTTCCTCCACCCTGAGCAGCCATCTGTCACCTCAGCGTGCCAGTCTGACTAGACCATCCCAAGAGGAGCCCACACGCATATGCACGAAGACATAGGTAGATCCATTTGGAGACTGGATATCATCTTTAATAATAATGCCACAGCCCAGCATCCTTTTTGTTGCTGTAGCAGGTTGTGATCGTGTGTGTGTATGTGTGTGTGTGTGTGTGTTCCTGAACAGATGAGGGGCCAGAAGCTCCCAAGCAGGTCTCAGCCAACAGCTCTTTTGAGCAGCGACTGGAAGACAGTCTCCATAGCGGCACGGAGGCTGGGCTCATGCCTCCTTTCCTCCTGGGCCACCTCCCGTGCATTCGGAGGACAAGGCTGAGGTCTGGGCCAGCCCAGATTAAAGGGCTTCTCAGCAAATATGAGTCTTCAGTCCTCAGTCCTCACTGCCTCTGACCAGAGGTATGAGCCTGGGCAAAGTACACACTGCTAGGCACAGGTGGACAACCTGGGCCAGCCATGGTCCCTCTGTCATACTGTGGCAGCACCACAATGGCCCAGCCCTGAGCAGAAAATCCAGAGCTTCTGAGGCCATTGGATTAATTCCTTTCAGAGATAATCAGGTTGTAGCCCCGGCCCTTTCTGGGGCCAGCCAGAGAGGGACAGACTCAGCCCATGATGGCTACACGGCTGTCATTTCCAACCCAAACCTAAGAGCCTGCCCTCCTGCCATCTCTATTCTCCAATTCCTTACATGCCCACTAGGTCCACAACCCAGACATGGCAGGGGAGGTTAGCATGATGGTGAGTCGAAAGGCGGCCATGAGAGACCTGGGCTGAGCTGGATGGAACTGCAGCCACGTGCCAGCCTGAAGCCAGCCCTCTCTCCCATGGTCACTGCGAGCCAGAGCTCTCTGAAGCCGGATGGGACCCCCACAGGGCAAGGCAGCAAGTTCTTGGCCTGGTGCAGAAGGAGAAAACCAAGCTGGCTCCACAGTCTCATCTCCACCTGCTCTGTGCCTTAGGAAGGCAAGGAGCCCAAGTTCCCAGGACAGTGGGATCAGCTGTTGGGGAAGCACCGTTGTCCAGGTGAGGCCTCGGGCCGGAAGCTGTGTTTGATCAGTGGGCTGGGGTAGTAGGTAGTTGTGTACACATTGGTCTGCTGCAATGGGTAGAAGCTGGCTTTGTCATCAGGAATCAGGTTATTCTTGTTCAGGGTCTGTGGGAGAAGGAAGGAACAAAAAAAGGGGGTAAGGGACAGACAGGGAAAGCAGGCAGCCAGGTTAAGGAGATCAGGAGCCAGTCAATGAAAGGACATTCTAACTGCTGATGTAGTATCCTGTTCACAACACCTTCCCAAGTGCCTCGCCCAGTAAGCCCACCTTAGAGCCAGAACCATTGCACCCATCACCCTGCCCTCTGCTTCTATAGGAGGGCTCTCACCTTGAACTCCATAGGTGTATACTTCTCATTCTTAGGGGTGCCCCCACCCTTGTAGTGCAGGTGGTTTGGTGTGGCAGGATGGACGAGTGTGGACTCCTGGGACTGGCGCTGGCAGTGCTGGCAGGACAGGTACACGGCCAAGGTCAGCAGCCCAGAGCCCAGGAAGCAGGAGACGCCCGTGGCTACCAGGTGGATGAGACTGAACCCTGGGAGAGGGAGAGGTAAGTGGTAAGGAAAGGGCCACTGTGCAGCAGAGAGCCTCCCAGCTGCCTCCCAATAGGAGGCTCAGAGACATAAAGGAAGAGCTTTGAGCCCAGAGCCAATGGAGACAGGCAGGCTGGGCAGCCCACACCAGGGCCGCTCCCACGGGACCACCTAGGGCCTGGGTCAGAGGCAAGCAGAGGATGTGGAGTTGGGTGACTTGTGACTTCTTGAGTACAGACTTGATGACTGCCTCCTAGATGGGGGCAGGGATGAAACTGCCCAGAGCCCCCTCCACATGGTCTGAAGCAGTGGGGAAGCTCCACAAGGTTTGTCTATCTGGAGTGGGAGGTGGAGAGGTTCCAAATTTCAAAGTAAGGTGGGCCTCCTCCTGGAAGAGGGACAGTGTTATAAAGGTGTGGGGGGCAGGTTCCTTTTACCTTCACAGCCGGTGGCCTCCTCCACACTGGAGGCGGGCAGGATCACTGCAGGAAGACAAGCAAAGAGGGTGTTTGGGGCACGTGCTGGGGGGGGTGAGGGGGGAAGGCAAGAGGGGTGCCCCTGGGTCAGCACTGAGCTGTGGGATAGGCCTGGGGCTACCTGCCTCCCACCCTGATGTTCTATCTTGTACCCCCCCCCCTAGGGCACATGCTTCAGAAAGGGAAGGAAGCTGGGGCTCAGTGGGAAATGGTGGGGAGAAGGGGCCGGCTGGAAGACCCACCGGGAATCTCGCTGTAAGGGCAGGGGCGGCTCTGGCTGCTGTTGCCAGCACAGGTGCTGGGCCCTGGGACCAGGTCCTCACAGTGCCGACTGCGGGCTTGGACTCCATCCTCGGTGCATGCGCTCCACTCGGACCACAGTGACCAGCCTTCTGTGGGTTGTGGGTTGGGACGAGGTTAACTGCCCCAGCACCCTCTGGTGGGGACTGGAGGGCTCCGTGGTGCTCCCCAGCCCGGCCGGGCGGACTCAGTACCTGGGCAGGCCTGCGTGGCACACAGTGCCTCCTCCGTGTGCAGCCCCAGGCAGATGTCCTCGCCTGGGGAGGGCGCGGGGCTGGTGCAGGACCGTGTGCGTTGATAGTGTCCACCACCGCAGGAGGCTGAGCATGGGGACCAGGAGGTCCAGCAGGACCAGGCGCCCCGCACTACAAGGGGATAGGGTGTGTGAGGGGAGCTGCAGTGCAGGCAGGACCCCGAGGCAGTCTTCTGCCCCTCCCCAGGCAAGGCCACTTCTGCCCTGGGCCACACAGACCTCAACACCTGCTCCACCCAACTCCCACAGCTCACTGCGGGGAGAAGCCCCTCCCTGTGGGGGGTGGGGGGGGCAGGAGAAAGGCAGGCTGCAGAGGAGTCATCAAAAACCAACTCCAAACAAGCTCCTCATCAGGCTAACCCACTAGAGGAGAGAAAAAGAAGTGACAGGAAGGTGAGGAAAGCTCTGCTCTGTGGGAGTGGCTGCTGAGTCATTGCTCAGGACTATTGCTCTGAGGCCCCTGTGCAGACACGGCAGGGAGAAGAGGTCACCCGAGCATGAGCTGTGGCCTGGGAGCCTCCTCGATGGGGGTTCCCCGGGTGGAGGTTTCCCAGGATTACTTAGCACAGGGTTACCTGGACAAGCCTGGGGGTTGCAGTCCTGGTACTCGGTGGCGTCCCCCACGCAGGGCAGGCCCCCGTTGCGAGGCTCGGGGTTCGTGCAGGTCCTCTTGCGGATGTGGAAGCCCAGCTCGCAGTCCCGGGAGCAGGACGACCAGGGGCCCCAGGAGGCCCAGCCCCCGCTCACCACGTGCTGGGAGGTGCCCCCGCTGCGCAGAAGATCCTCCACCAGGGCTGAGGGTGGAGGGACTGGCTTCAGCAACAGGGGCTTCTTCCAAACCGAACCGAGCCACCCAGAGCTCCGCCCCGGCTCCCAGCCTCGCCCCCCAGGCCACGCCCCCTCTCCTCCCCCTCCCCCTCGCTCCGCGCCTGGAAAGCTGGAAGGCGGGTGGGGAGAGTGGGATGGGCGAAGGGCTGTGCCCT